ATGAAATATTAGCGCAAAAGGAAAATGTCACACAGTGGTTTTTACACTCACTCATCCCCAGCATTCAGCTCTAATTCAGCAATGAAAATTCCACACGCCATGTAATCATGATATCGTAGGTGAGGAAATATATAATGCATGCCTTGAATCATCAACTTGTAGAAGCGGGATTTAACAACAAAAATGCTTTCAACTTTTGCTCTTCTTTTACCGTCTACAATAATTCAGATTAAAAGACTTTGTAAGATTGGTTCCATTTAAAATTATTTAATTTTCTGGAGGGAAAATTCAAATTCAGCTGGCCCCAATGGTATCCCGGAATTGTTATTAAAGTCCGCATCAAACTCCATTACAAAGCCTCTGTGGAATATTTGAAATCTGTCAATTATCTTCAAACTCAGTACCTAATTATTTGAAATTGGCAAATGCAAATCCCCTTCACAAATGCGGTGGAATTATACATCCCCATCATTTTAGGGCCTCGTGGAAACGTGCTCAGTCCAAAATCCAAGAAATACTATCTACATTCTTAAATGGCACGCAATTTGGTGTCATATCTGGGCAAAATACTATAACTGCTACCTCCACAGTACCAACTGAAATTTAGATAACAATAGGTATATTCAACCATCTTTATTGATCTCAAAATAACATTTTATGTGGTTGACCAAGATGCCCTGCGCTGCCACAGACATCTACCTAGGTCTAAGGCCACTCTTCGACTCTGATTAGTCTAAAAGGGCCTAGTCCCAGCACACTATCTCTTATACCTACATATAACATGATACAATATTTACATTTTATTCAGGTGCTAAATGCTCTTCAAAATATCTTGGAGTAATCTCATGTACCTTGGGTTCCAGTGTATTTTTCACCAACAATTTGAATTAACGCATGACACAATATGGTATTTATACTAAATAGTTATGTTCAAATGCAATCCTACATTCCACAAATACTACTTGATGGAAATTGGTCAAATGCAATTTTCATAGGTGTACATTTGATGAAAGAGGCTGTAGCTATTTCTCATGCATCCCTTACTCACATATTTAACTACATCTGAACTATGTCAGCTTCTGTTATGTAATAGCATGCATAATGAGTTAATGTTGTGCTTCAAGCCATGCAACTCTCCCATGCTTTAATTTGCCACTGGATGTTATGTTCTTAAATAATGTATTCATCCGGAGCCAGTGGAGGGTGGGGTGGCACGTGCCCCCCCCCCCCCCCCCCCCAATGATCCGATCGAAATTCCTAATTTCGATCGGATTCCTAATTTCGATCGGATCATTGGGGTTTATTAGTAATAAATCGGCATTTTGCGACCCCTACTGCCACTGTGTATCGTAGTATTACGTGCCAGGGCGCCTATGAGATGATAGGACAATAGTCTGAGACCATTATAATATTAATAGTATGTGCCAGGGCCTCTATGAGATGATGGGACAATAGTCTTAGTCCATAACTGGCAATAAGTAACGGAAAAGCAGTTATAAGTGACTCAGAATTGCGCGCAGTTGCGTTTACAGTACACGACTTCCCTGAAGGCATTCACCTTCAGCGAACTCCGAAGCCATGTCTCCATTATATTGCCAGCATGGAATTCGTCTGTCCTACCATATATGTATATCACTGTGGACTCAAAAGTCAAAGTTTCTCCCTGTTCAAGTAATTGCGGGGTAGTCATCATTTCCACTGGTAACAATGATTCAGTATTGGAAACTGTGCATTCCTGTACTTAGTATTGCTAAAGTTGGGATAGTCTCTCAATGAGAGAACTGCTTTTGACTATTTTTCAATATTATGAAATGCCAAAACATGTGATGAATGTATGTTCAACTTCATTCACACAGTACATAGCCAACTGTGTTAATCAGAGGTGCTAATCGGGATGTTATGAATAGAATATAAATTTAATCATTTATCAATTAATATATATTTAAGACTCGCAATGCGTGCATTGTATTATGTAAGCCAGGCATGTCGAAAGTCCGGCCCGCGGGCCAATCACGGCCCGCGGTCAGATTTCATACGGCCCGCAGCTTCGGTCTTATAATGTGTTAGTTATGGCTCGTCAGCTCTGTCAGAATAAATACATCATAAAACTCATGGAAATTTAAGGTATTCTATACAGTTTGTTCAATGTTATCTGACTGAATGAAAGGCAGAATTGCGTTTTTAGAGTTGTTCCCGTCTGCCTGAGTGGCTTATATTTGGTTACATTGTCATTTGAAAAATAAAGATAATTGTGACAATGAAAATTGTTTTATAACAGTGTGTATTTCCACGTAACTTTTGTGGTTAAAACAATGACAAAAGGAACTATTGGCCCCCGGGCATCTTCACTTTATCAAATGTGGCCCTCTTTGCAAAAAGTTTGGACACCACTGATGTAAGCGAGTAAATGTTTTTAACAAAATGATATGCATGTGAAAAGCCAATGTTACATTTTATCTAACACCTGTACAAACGAGACCGGACAAATGAGAAACAATCAAATCATGAGAGTAAAAAAAACGAGGCTTAAAACAATCTGATTATTGGGTTAAATCGCAGCCAGTGGATCGTAATAATGCGTAGAATGGTGGGGCAGTGAGGTGGGGAGGGCGAGGTGACCCGACCCCGAAAGTGAAGCTCCACTTCTGAGCATTGACTTCTGAAAAGATAATCGCGTGGTGCGCGAGACACCGGCGCAGAACAGGAAAGGCAGTGCATGTGACGCGATTGATGTCTTCATTGGCAGAAGCGCTGGGAGTTCCTCTTCGAGCACAGAACAGCAAGACATTAACAGCCGTTTAAAAAAAGGAGCGCTTCCCGGCCAACGCGAACTTGCAAACTACAACATAAACGTGAAAACAGAAGACTTATATGTATGTGCTGTGAAAGTCAACAACGTTCACATGTTGGCCATTCGTTATAACAATTGAGATAATAGCGACTTAGATAGGGAATATTGTGCTCTGAGCAACAGTGAGCAAAATACATTGTCTTTGTTCATCATCATCAGCATGAGTATACTGATAGTCCATATATAATGCATGATGTGCACATCTGTGGAATCAGAAATGTGGCCCATGGTGGGTTTAAGAAAATCGGTTATTACCAACTGGAACTAAAATATGAATTTACACAATATCGTTTTTCGACTGTACTATCAAGTTATCATTTCAGTCATCCTGTGCAAAATGCTAAACTGCTATGCATCTGCCATTTTATTGAGGGACTGTTTTGTTGAGGGTTTTGCTGCCTTGCTCAAGCTTGATAAATCGGAATTATATAATAAAATTATATTTAGTGAGCTGCGTACCATTTTCACTATTTTGCAATCATATCGTGTTTGCTGTTGTAATTTGCTGACCCGCCCATACAGGACATCTGTGAAAAAGAGCTTCATAGCTCATCGGATTACTCCAGTCTAAGCTAGAGATTCTGATTCCGATGTTGGTTCCGTGAAAACAACGTTATAAATTGGAGCCCATTGCTCGAATGCTGCATTTCTATATATAGAGTATACGGAAATTGTCACGAAATGTTCTTGACAGATTTGCTTACAGGCTTGTAGTACGGCAGTGACCCCAGTAGGCTAAAACAAACCGTATGTGACCACAGTTTCAGGCTGTATTCAGTGTTCACTTTCTTATCGTAAAGAAATGCGTGCCTTGTGCTCGCTGCAATCCATTTTAAAGGGGATTTTTTTTTGTTACATTTAATACAAGTCGGAAATCATAGCAAATTACCAAAGGATCAAGTGGTACAAAGTGGGTGAATAACAAGCTCACATTACATTTTGGTGATTTAGTTTTTATGTTAATTCAATTAAATGCTCAATGTGCACCGTAGTGAAAAACCATCCGAGAGACGTGTCCCAAGTGTACAACTGCATATCTAATTTTACTCTCACAATTACCACCAATTTTATCATTCCACAATTGTGGAATGGGCTCCGAAGTGGGGCCTAGTTAGGTAGCGAGCCAACCGCGAGCGAAAACCTTCCACAAATAAGTGGAAACGTTCAGCCACTGTGTGGGATCCCACCGTCTCACATGTATGTATGTTGAACTTCCTTCGCACCGTACGTGGCCAACCGTGCTAATCGTTGAGAGGGCCTGTGGCCCATTATGCACAAATTCGTGTTCACGTTTGGCGCCTCAACTACGCAATGTTTATTCTGCGCTTGTACGTAAACTTGAGAACAGGTTTTTTTGTTCTCAAAGCTCTAACTTTGTGTGAAAGTGGCGGAATGAAAACAAAAGATAATGAAGATGTAAATGATATTATGATAGTTATAACAGCAGATTGTATATGAAGATAATGGAAAGTGATTATGTTTATCGCATGAATGATGGCTTATGAAGTTGATGGAGAGATGGCGATAATGCCGATGGTGATGCAATTCATATTGCTGTTGATGATGTTGCCTCTGCTTACAGATGATGGTGCACTAGAGTGTTCCAGGGAGAGCATCACTGCAATGAGTCCCAATACTTGTTTTTAAGAGTGTTTGGTATGTGGGACCTCAAACAACAACACATTCAGCTGAAATCAATGTGAAGTTAATAATTACAACTACTAATATACACATTTTATACTGGTAGGAACCACCTGGTTCCACCAGCCCACAGGGGTTTATTGTGTCCGTCCGTCCGTCGTGAATCCAAAAATGGGAGGGGTGGGGCTGGGTGGAGAGGGGAGGGTGGGGAGGGGCTGGGTGGGGAAGGGAGGGTGGGGAGGGGCTGGGTCGGGGGTGGGAGGGGCTGGGTAGGTGGGGCTGGGTGGGGAGGGGCTGGTCACCCCGTGGTGCCCTTATAAAACTCAACGTTTAACCTACTCACGCCGGCTTGTGCCCGCCCACACAGTCGGCCATATTTGCGGAATACACCACGCCGCCGTTGACCCTGCAGGCCATTGACCGAGCAACCCGACGTTCCTACCAGCTCCCTCCGCAGGAATGTGTTAAATGCATTGGCAACGGCATTACAACGGAAGCGCGCGGTGCTGCACGGGAATTCCCAGCGTGTTAGGCAATGCACGTGATTGACTCGACCCTAATTACAAAGTTTATTGTTAATTACGTCTTGGCTTAGGCATTTCACAAAGAGAGGTGGATGGGAGGAGTACGTAATAGGTTTTAAAAGTGCGTGCGTGTTTTATGCCTCTAAAACGGCGGGGCGTGTGTGAGCCCGCCACACTTTGTGGCCGAAAGTCGCAGTGGGAACCGCCGGCGTCTATGGCGGGGAGATTTGGGAAGACGGCGGCAGCATCCGGCCCGCGAGACATGGAAGCGGCCCATCCCCGAACACTGACAGACGGAGTGATGATCCAATCTCCTCCTTAAGATTATTTCTTTTCTTTTTTCAGGATGGACCTCGCATCACCTCGCGTCGACATCCTGCTGGCCAGTCAACTCTGCAAGCCGCCGCTGGGTGAAAGTCCCTCCGTTCAGGGTCGCTGTGGCAATCGTCTAACCACCACCACGACCACCGCCACTGCACAAGGCAACAACAACGACGACGACAACAAGAGCCACTGCCTGCCAGGTGAGAGCCGAGGACGCGATCTGGCGCGTTCTCTGATGAATGAGTCACGCTCCTCGTTAATTGGACACCCGCGCGGTTACAACCACATCCGTCGTCGACACGAAGCGAGGAGTTTGTACCAAGTGAGGCTGGGGGATGGGGGCTACTGCTGCGTTCGACTTGCGCGGAGCCCCCCGCGGGCGCCAACGGGCTCATAGAGGAAGCGGCGTTGGTGGAGCTTCCTTCCTGTCATTGTGGCTGCACCTCCCCCCCCTCTCTCCCTGTTGCAAGGTGACCCCCACCACATCCCCCCCCCCCCTGCGTGGCCGATCGTCACGAGCTGCGTGCTAACAACACTTCCCCTGGAACAACGGGCAGAGCAACACCGTAGCCAAGGGGGCAAGCGGGTTGAGAGGCGTTTTTGGATCCAGCGGCGCCGGGGAGGGTCAGGGTGGTGAGAGGATGTTGGATGAAGTCGCTTAGTTGGGGACTTCTGGGAATCTCGGCCACCCCTTCCATGTGAACTGTCGCTGTTTTCCTCGCCTCTGTAGTTCAAATCGTCTCGTTGCGGTGTACCTCGCCAAATTTATGATGAAAAACAAGATCTGAAAAATTGGTGAAAGTTTTGGTGGGGGGGGGGGGGAGCGTGAGGGTTGGGGGGGGGGGTCCCCCTTTGGTCCTGAGCACTGCACAGATGGACCCACATCCAGAGGGCCGCTCTGTGACTGCGGGTATTGCATACCTGTCGCCCCATACGGGTTTACGCGTATTCTTGTGCAGGGAAATTGAGTTATCAGGTCCATACGGGGTACATTCGTTTCAATATGGGCTAAACCCCCTTTTTTGTCAATTTGTTTGTATTTATACCTTGTGATGGGACTCTGTCGGATGAACTTTGAGGTTTTTAAGGGCACGGGGTGACCAATAAGGTCTGAATTGGTCTGTAATAATGTATGCATTGATAAGGGGTTGACGGGTATGGGGCCATCCATAAATTACGTCAGGCGATTTTGGACGATTTTTGACCCCCCCCCCCTCGTCACACGGCGTCACAAAAAGTTAGACCCCCCCAGGTGTGTGACGTCATTTATGGACGGCCCCTATGGTATTGCACGGGTTGGTTACGTACGGTGCTAAAAGACGTTCAACATAAGGTAGAGTGAAGTGCCTGCGTCTGTTGTGTTAGGCGTTGAGGGATTGGATACGAGGGATTGGGTACGAGGGGGGAGGGGGTCCCAGGGTGGGTGTGCTGACAGTCTCGTTGAGCATTGGATTTTTCTGACAAGCTATGAATTCTGCTGATATTTATGACGGAAGATGGTAAATCCTCTGTGCCAATTGGAACGCATTGCTGGCAGATTCATTCTCGAGATCACTGTCTCGTGATTGCAGTAACATCTTAAAGAAAATTGAGGTGTACAGTTTTTGGTCTTGAATCTTTGAGTGTTGGGGAAATTCGCATTCATTCATGTGATCAGGACAAATTATAATAATAGCAATATAACAATGTAATATCTTATTTTTGTTATGACTGTATCATTATCAGAAATGACCAACATGGTGAAGTATAGGTAAACAAAAGAAAACGCCACCGCATGGTGTGCAGTGAGGGCCTCATCCAGCAGTGCCTTGACAAAGGGCTTGCTGTACAAGTACACATTGTTAGTACGCACTGCTGTAAGCTGAGGTGTGGACTCGAGTCATGTGACTTGGACTCGAGTCAGACTCGAGTCATGAATTTGATGACTTCAGACTCGACTTGGACTTGCATAACAATGACTTTGTCCCACCTCTGGCTGTAAGTATCGAACCGGAGCACGGCATGCCTCGCATTGTCTTCGGAAGAGAGTGTTGTATTTTGCATTAATTCATTGGGTCAATTTAAGCCAGCAGAGCGGCATGCACACACACTGACCTACTTTAGAGGCGAGCACCATGGGATGTGTGTGAGCGGCAGCAGGGAGCAGCTGGCTGTTTGTGTGTGTGTGGACGCACTGAACACGTCTCCAGACGGTGGGGGCTTGCGCCCGAATCAGCAAACCTTGAAATAGAAGGCGAGCATGATTTCTCCGTGTGTCTAGCCCACATGCATTATTTGTGCGAGCTATGAATGTTTGTTGAGGCATTTAAACAAGGTGTGTGTGCGTGCGCTGCGTTAACCACGGCATAACGAATGGGACACGCCAACCAGGGCTCAGGCTGTGTCCCTGTGATCGTCAACATGCTCAAGGCCTCCTCAAACCGTCAATAATCCTCACGGTCACGCCATGCAACAATCCATCGAGCCGCTGCTACGCGAGGTGATCTCGTCGATCTGTCTCTATGGTGGACGTCCTCTCGTCTTCGTCCCTCGTTTGGCTGCCACTCTGTTGTTAGTCTCCACCACTGGCGATCGTCCCTTATAGCGACGGGTGATGCCAAAGCCCACTTACATTTTTTACCGGTCTACGTGCCGTGTCTACCGTTTGTATATTCTATGATCCACGTGATTGTCTTTCTGTCGCTGTACTGCCAGGCATGTACCTCAGATTACAGCCATTTTTCTGTAGGCACTAGTAAGTTGTTATTTATATTAAATAACAAAAAATTCCAAAAGCATTTGAACCGGTGGTTATCCACCACTTAATTTAATCAGTTTGAGTCCCATTCTCTCTTCAGTAACTGCCCTATGTAAACACACTACTGTGTTTCCCAACTGTGTCCAATTCTGTCCCTCAAACACATACCCTGCTTTTTTAAAGCAACTGTTACTTTACTATTGTTTTGTTCGTTTTTATCTGGAGCCTAACTTGGCAGTTTTCTTCATTACAGATCTATTAGATTATTATTGATCGTGACGATAATTGGGAACAGAATATCAGAACATGTAGGGGCCAAGCAACCACATGAGCAAACTGGGAATACGAAAGGATTCTCAATCATTGACCACATACATTTGATCAGATCCTGAAAAAGACTCGCATCAAATATCATTCTGCCGAGCCTGTGTAGCGTATGGAACAACATTTGATTCGGTGTAGATTTACACAGTCATCCAGATTCTCGCAAACCACAGCCTAGATACAAATAATATATACAGCAATCCCGCGCCAACCGTCCAATCATGTATACAGGATTTATTATATGTATAACAATTTACCAACCATGGAATGGAAATGTTGAGTATCCACGGGTACGCACGAGTCCGCAACACGTATTTACATATTTGGCGGGCCCGCGGTTCTCCTCCATGCCACAAATCCACCCGTGGCCACCCGTGGCGCTGCGTGGCTTATTAGCTGTCCATCTGCTTTGTTGTACTGTTTCGCATAGCAACCGCATTCACATTAACCCTTTCCCATTGCGAGACGTCAGTAAGTTGCAGGATTGGTCCCGTTTACCGCTGAATCTCGGAACGCGCAAGTAATTAGCATTAATTTGATTTTGAGAGGCATAATGCCATTGTTTTTAAATACATTGTACTGTCCTCACCGCACAGAACTGTAGCGACATGACCACACTATGATAGCTGGCGCCAAACTGTGCCATACACCCTTCCGAATGGCCTTGTGGGAGCCTCGGTATCTGAAGACGTACCAATAAAGTTATTTTAGTTTTTCTTTTGATTAAATTTCGATGGCATACACGTGTAGTGCTGTACTTTATGCGGACACCTTTTTTTCCGTCGTCACTTTACATTCCGCCACCCAGACTCCAGCGCGTTCTCCGCTCGCTCGCCGCGCTCCGCTAGCCTTGCTCGCTCCATTCCCTCCCTCTCTCTCCGTCTCTTTCTCCCCCGACTCTCCTCTCTGCTTCGCCCGTCTCGGCTTCGATCGTCTCACTCTGACTGCCTCTCTCTCCGTTCCTGTTCCACTACTAGCCTATCCTTCCTCGTGTCTCTTCTTCTCCTGCTCCACTATTCTATCTCTCATCTCTTCTTCTCTTGCTCCATTGCTAACCTATTCTTCTTCTGCTCCGACCGTCTCCATCCAGCTCCCAGCACAACTCCCCGTCTCACTCTCACGCTCCCGTATTTATCCCCGTCCTTATTAATTTCCAATTAATTAACCGTCGTCCCCCCAGCCCCCGACCGCCCGCTGCCCCGCTGCCCCACCGCTACCTGCCCACTCATCTGTCATTAATAATCCAGATGAAGAGGGAGAGGGTGGGCTGAGCCCCGCCTCTTTCTAACTACCCCTTCACCCATGGTCTCATTGTAATCATCATTGTTAATATTAAAAGTACGAAAAGTTAATGTAATGTTAATTTGTTTTATTATGTTATTCTGTATTATACTGTTTTATTCCCTGTTTACTTCATAAACCGGCAAGTTAGTTAAGCTATGACGAGTCTGACTGTGTCCGTTGGTTCCCCTAACCCCCAATTTCCCATAGGCCCCTGTACTTTATCAACCGCGGATTTGCCTACCGTGGCCTTTTTCAGGAACCAAACCACCGCAGTCGGTGAGGGATTGCTGTACAGGCGAACCTTGCTCAACACTGCTTTATCGAATGCATGCTTTGGCTCTACACGGTGTACGTAATGGGGACTGTTTTATGAAACATGTGGGTGATGGCTGTGCTGGTAGCATAAAAGGAGCCGAGAGCGGGGGCTCGAGGCTGCTGGTTCTGGGAGTGGACTCGTCTCGGCGTTGTTGTCGTCTTGTCACCGTCTTCGCTGCCGTCTTCGCTAGATATTGCGCTACAAGATAGTAGTTGGCTATCTCAGTCAGCGCCGTCGGTGTTAGACGGTTATGTTGTGTACACGCTAGGCTAAGCAACTGTGGAGAGTGTGTGGACGAGACCGTGAAAGTTGTTAAATGAATAAGCTTCCTCCACCAAACCTTGTCTCTGAATCAGACACTACACATGAATAACGTAGAATTGATCCATTTTGGTATTTTTCTGACTAATATACATCATGCATTAATAGTATTTGTAAATGCTAATGTGGATATACTGTATTTTAGGTATGTGTGTGTCTATGTATGCAAGTAGCGTTGCAGCAATTCGTACACAGCGCTACAGTTCTGAGTTGGATTCCTGGCCATGCACATCATTGGAAAGAGGTTTCTGAACCTGTACTGGACATCACCGAGGTCAACTCAACCTCAAATAAGTAGTTGGTGAAGTTTGTAAATATCAGCAATGGAGGGAAACTAAATGTGGCCGGGCATGTTGCTGGCCATGGAATACCCCAATTCCTGTGCCAACCTTAAAAGGAGCCCGCTAACCCCACTCATCCCGACGGTCTCCTGGGCGGAATTGAAAATGTACGTCTTGGTGTATTATTATGCAGTACTGTGTACGTATATTAACTGTGCTTGTGTTCAAATTTAAATTAAAAAAATACATATCATAAGGACTTAGAGGTGCGAGCACAACTTAATTCCGAGGTTGGCGATTTTAGCTTTTATTTGTGGTCGTGTGTGCGGTAGGGTGTTCATACGATGGGCGGCGAGCGTGGAATACATGTGCGAGCTTCGTCTCCCAGAAGATGGGCGTATTAATGTTTACACTGGCCAGGAGTCAGAGCTGCCCCAGCTAGCGTGGCACTGTACCCTCGCTCGGTGCACCGGCATCCCAGCGAACCTTCCTGCGTTTGTCTCCCAAGGAAGTGACTGCACAAGGAAAACAATGGTCTGTCACATTGTGTTATGCGGCTGCTCAACCGGATCACTTAATTATTAATGTTTGTGATTGCACGCAAAAAAGGACTCGCTGTCGACGTTACATCTCGCCGCAAATCACCGGGCCTTCAGACAATACACGTTGTGGAAATTTGAAAATATTAAAATAATTTCACGCGCTTGGGATGGAGGAGAGGAGTGCTTCGCTTAGTTTCGTGGCCAAAATTAAGTGTCGAGTGTAATTGGGAAAATGTTTTGGCGGAAAGACAAAGGGCCACCTGCAAAAACAGGTGAAGGTATTATTTTCGCTCAATCGTACGTTTTAAAATTAGTGACCTACTTTTTTTTTATTTGGCCTCATGTTTTGGACAGTCATACAGTGAAGACCAATTTGGCGATGGGGATTGATTGTACACTTCACTGACCTGTCGCATTAAGGAAGCGCAGACAGCAAGATGGGAAATCGGGGTCGGTTTGTGGGATCCGGCCCTTTGTTAAAGAAATATTCTGCAAGCTGGCTGACTCGCCGGCGCGCCTCTATGTAAGAGTGCCATGCTTTAAAAAAAAGGAAAAGAAAGAAAAAAAGTACATAATCGTTTATCCAAATGTAGGGCAGCCAAGAGCAGCTGGGGGTGTGTGGCCATGTGTGGCGTTTTCTGTGATCTGCGCTCACTATTAGCCAGCGTTGCGTTTTTTGTTTTGTTTAGATTTTTTTTCTTTCCCCCGCTGCATGTAGCCGCAGCGAGGCCGGCGCAGCGGTGGCGGCGGTGTCGGACCATGGAAACGTTGGAGTCGGAGCTGACCTGCCCTATCTGCCTGGAGCTCTTCGAGGACCCCTTGCTGCTGCCTTGCGCGCACAGCTTGTGCTTCGCGTGCGCCCGTCGCATCTTCGTCTCCCACTGCACTTTTGGTGGCGGCGACGGCAGCGGCGACACTCCCGACTCCGTTTCGAGCGCCTTCCAGTGCCCAACGTGCCGCTATGTAATCACGCTCGGTCAGCGTGGATTACAGGGGCTCAAGCGCAACGTCACTCTGCAGAACATCATTGCCCGCTTCCAGAAGGCCTCCATGAGCAGCAGTGGCCTCAGCTCGCCCGGCGGCAGCCGGGAGGAGATCTCGCCGGGAGGGTCCTTCTTGCCGGATGCCAACAGCGGCAGCACTGGTAGTGCCGGCAGCACCGGCAGCGGCAGCAATGGCAGCACGAGCGGTGGTGGCGGTGGAAGGGGGGGCGTCGAAGTCCTCTGCCAGTTCTGCGAGTCGGAGCCACCGCGCCCGGCCGCTAAAACGTGCACCACCTGCGAGGTGTCGTACTGCGAAGAGTGCCTGCGCGCCACCCACCCCAATAAGCGGCCCTTCACTGACCACCGGCTCACTGAGCCGACGGCCGCGGGAGGGCCCGCGCGGGGCCCCATGTGCGCCGAGCATGAGGCTGAGAAGGTCAACATGTACTGCGTGACCGACGAGCAGCTCATCTGTGCCCTGTGCAAGCTGGTGGGCCGGCACCGCGAACACAAGGTGGCATCGCTCGCTGACCTCTACGCCAAGCACAAGGTGAGAGGGGCACGCGATCTGCCTGTGTCAACAGGGCTCTTGGTCCTCTGATCTTATTTGTAAGCAGTTTGTGCATCTGGTTGCTTTAATGCCATCATTTGCTAATTGTGTACACATCATACACAAATATGCAATTTATTTAAAATCATAATTCTACGTGGAGAACGTTAATTTACCTGCGTTATGTACTGCAGATGGAGACCAATAAGTAGCCTATAAATATAGTGTCTTATACAATGTGTATGCTGTATAGATGTGGTGTACGTGAGCTGCTGTGGTGTAAAAGTTAGCGCACTGGACTTGCAATCCGTGGTCGCCAGTTCGATTCGATATCCCGGCGCAGCAGTTGAAACAATGGAGCAAGTTTCTTAAATCTTCCCACCTCTGTCCACCCAGGAGTAGAAATAGATACACCAGAGTTTGTCAATCGGCATGTCGTGTGTAGTGGGGTCCAAGCCGTCTGGCTAGCATGGAAGAGCAGGCCACTTGGCCTGTAGAGGAGCCTTCTAGAGCTCCCTCGAGCGCAAGTTATTTCATCATCAGTGGCATGAGCAATCAATTGCGGGGCTGTGCCTTTAGATGTATTGTAATATATATGTATACCCTCATTATTTACCTGTGTGAAAACTCTTCGAGATGTATTATTTTGTTTTCAAATAAAATACTGGCAATCACAACTACAATGGGTAAAATACTTTTTTATTAATTCATCTGGACATTTGGGATATGGGCTATGACATTGTGTGTGTCTTTGGATTCCAGTGCATGCACGGCATAACCCTTTCTCCTACTCGAGCTGAGCGCAAGAAGAGTTTAGCACGAGCGTGCAGCACTCCGTCGCTTAAGCTTCCTTATCCTCATACAGAGTGAATGCGGCGGGGAGGGGGGGGAGTCTTCACTCATAATGATTCCTACTTTCTCCATCCGCAAAATCAGCGAAGGCACGTACGTGTATTGCATAATGTATTTGCACATGTACGCTGTACAAATTTACCGTTGCTCCAAGATGCGTGTGAAGGCACGATGTTTCATATTAACGGGTATTACTGTTTAACTATTTAAAATATATTCGTAAACATATACATTATGTTAGTAATGTGCAGGTTCAAACAGGACTGAGTCTACACTGATAGGTTCATCCCTGTATTCTACCTGTTAATTTATTTTGGATATTTCAAAATCACTTAAACGTTTTAATGCAAGTTTGTACAAGGAGGCATCGGGTCACTTGGGATTTGTTTGCCAATATAAATCACGTTCCTAGCACCAAAAGTTTTCTAGAAAACTCAATGTGAAACCTCGCAGTATAATGTGCCACGACACAGTTTGGTTGGTCTGAATCACCGTCTCTTTGTGCAGCTGTTGAAAGAATGGAGCAATTATCTTAATTCATCCCACCTATGTCCACCAAGCAGCATAAATGGTTTTGCCGCAGTTTGTCGATCAGCAGGTCGTGTGCGGTGGGGTAAAGTGTTGGAACGCTCACCTCTCTCACCTAAGACATTTGGCCAATGTAGAAGGATAGGCCAAATACCCTTGGGTTAGAGTGTGGCTAGAGAGCTCCCTCAAGTAGATGAATCTCTGCCAGAAGTGGCGTGAGCAATAAATAGCAGCTCAGTCGGCCGTGCAGGAATGAGTCGTGAAATTGTGAGCTCAGAACCCAGCCAGGGTGAACTCAGCCCTCCCGTTCCTCGGAGGTCACCATAAAGAGAGATTAAGCACCACCTAATGAGGCTGCACCCAATAGCATCACCAAGAGGCAGAATGGCAGAGCCACTGCTTATTTGGAGCAATGGTCACAAACGTCGATTAAATACGATGGCATACAGCTACAGAATCCACCCTGTTTTAAAAAAATCTATCTGTTCTCATGGCAGTCTTCATCTAATTCTTTGTGCGACCTCTCGATTTTCACATTCAATATGTTTTTGTGTGTATTATATGTGGCTTGTTCTATTTTCCTCTGCAATGTTTTTTTTCCCATTCAAGCCATTATTAAAAACTTAACAGCTGGGCCACTGAGGTTTGAATCCCTCGGGGTGTTACGCTGGGTTCCTGTAGCATTAATGTAGTGAGAGAACGAAAGGGCTCAAGAAAAAAAGCAATTATAAGGCTGCTGTCTTGAGTTGGGGTAAAAGTTATTACCGGCAAATATTTGTTTACATCCTCTAAGCTGTTGAGAAGGCACTGACGTGGTTAAACTGTGGTGGTGAATCATAGTACCTGGACTTCACGGACGACTGTGCATAATTATACAATTACATTTTAGATGAAGAACCCATTATACCCAATAGCAATGACACCACCTCGCCTCACCATTATTGCTGCCTTCCATCTGACAGTTCCCACAGCAATTGCACAGTCAGCGCCGACTCCCATCATCTAAGTCAGGGTCTTCCCCTTAGGTCTCGGACCTCTTTCTGCCATTCCATTGCCTGTCTCCGTAACTTGCCTCTTTATCTGTCCTGACTTTATCAGAATACTCAGATCAGAGTTGTGGAATCGGCAAACAATGATATTGCAAGGTTGCAATTGCCCACAAATTATATTATCCATGTGACTTACTGCAATGCTTCTTATATGATCTGAATAGGAAATGATTAGCCGGGCGGTGGTGGTTATGCTGCACGTGGCCTGTAATTCAGCACTGTTGAGGCAGTGTGGGTTCGTGGATAACACGTGTTGTGAAACTCATTTCCCTTGGGCGTCAAAGAGGTGCCTTACCCTGACTTGCCAGGAGAAAGCGGAACAGAACATATAAACTCTGCCTATTCCATCTGTATGGGATAGTGTTGTCCCCTTGCACGCGTGGGATTTCTCCAGGCACTGCGATTTCTTCCTACATTGATTGGCTGAAAATATCTTCATATATAGGAGACAGCAGAGCTTGGGAAATTGTTAGTGCTGGCTCATGGCCTGATTGTCTGGTTCACTCTCTTCGAGAATAAGCGAATACTGCATGTTACAATGTGATATTAATTATCATTACATCATTATGATGGAATCTGCATTACTTCACAATGGTTATTATAATTTAACATTCACAGTATTATTTTTATTCACTGCTGGATGAAAGCCTCTCTGCACCATGCCAAATTTGAAACGAATTTTCTAGATTAGAATTGTTTTTTGTATTTAGTTTGTCCTTACCCTGCACCTTTGATTAGCACGGTTAGCTACATACAGTGCAAAATAAATTCAATATGTACACACACAGTTATGGGGTTTGACCATACTTCACCATAATGGTCGGTATGAGTTGGTGGAGAGGTGTCCTGGAACCAGTTCACGTGCCACTGACGTGAGCAGTGTTGGGGAATCGAACTGAGCCGGGTTCACCTGGCACTGTCCACACCTTGTCGCCACCGCTCACAGCCCATTACTAATTTATGTGATCGGCACTTTAATATTGAATAATTGCTAAGATATAAAGCACTGGTTTAGCTGCTTTATATATTTACAAGACTTATAGCAATCATGCACCTTGCGTCTACTGCCCCTGTAACACCACGGGACACGTTGCGCGTGCTGAGCAGGAGTTGCAATTTTTAGGACATTTTACTTCTATATTCTGTCATCACCACAGATCTTTGCTATTATTATTTGATGATACATTTTGAGATTTCTTGTCAAGGGAATCATGTAAGGAATACGGTTCAGGACATGCGTTCATTACCTTTACTGCATCCACTTGCTATGAAAAAATGTAACGTTTTTACGCAGATAAGTGGCCTTTTAACCAGTGGGCTTGGAAGTTCCTAATTTCTATCGTGGGGGCCAGTCTCTCCATAGTTCAACCACTGTTGACCTATTTTTATTGACGCTGCATGGGGTTAATCGGCTCGGCCGACTCGACGGGCCAGGGTTTGAGGCAGCAGCGGAGCAAACAGCCCCATCATCCTCAGCCAATGCCAAACAGATGCGGGAATGGCACTGCCGGCGTCACTCAAACTGGCTCAGCGATCGTCATCATTGTCAGCCGTGGTCAATCCACTGCTGGACGAAGGCCTCTCCAAGCTGCCGCCACCTCTCGCCATCCCACGGTGTAACAATCTACCTGGCACCTTGCACGCGAGCTGATTTCATCACTCCATCCCCTCGAATGACTTCCTCTCGGACGGTCTATTTCTTGGCTGTCCCTCCTTCATTACTCTTGACCGTCTTCCACATCTCTCTAGCAACGCACCCTGCTCAAGCCCACTTACTTTTCTTAAGAGTGTGGATGATGTCATTAACCTGGGTTTTTTTTTTAATTGCGCTGGAATTCCAAGCAATGCACCTCTCCTCACTTATCTACGAGATTTTCATTTTTTTTTCAATATCTTTTATGAATGACCGTGGTGGTGGTTCTGATGTTTCTGAGCCATATGCCATTAGCAGGATGAGTCCAGACTGAATCAAACCTTTCTGCTGTGGGCGCATTGGTATGTTAGTTTTCACGATCAATTCCAGCTTGCTCATCACTTAACCGTCCCTCCTCTCTTCACATCAGAATGGCTCTGGCGGCTTTATTCCCGGAGCAGGCACTAATTGGTAAATGACTCGAGCCCCTGTCTGGTCGCGGCACTGTGGGAATGCCGCACTTAGCGCAGCTGCGTTGGGGGGATTTTTCAGGGCAGAGAGGGCCAGGGGAGGGCCAGGGGAGGGCAGTTGCCCCTCCCCCCCTTCAGACTCCCGCAGGGACCACCATGGCTTTGTTTCACGATTATATCCCTTGAGTGCGTCCAGGCAACTATAGGCTAAAGGGTAAAACAACTCGTGGAGCTGTGTAAACGTGATAAGGCTTCACCAACAACTGATGAAGGCTCAGGTTTATTTAGGACCTGTTTTTTTATATTTGGCCAAAATAATTGTAGCCGCCATCATGTAATAAATCTAAAACCTGGCCGTATGGTTTTAATGGAGCGCTTATAGTGCACGGCATGAAATATAATCTATACGTTTATATAAAAAAACAGTGCCATCGGTTCTTCTACAAAATTCACACCTGACGTGTTCAA